TGGGAAGCAATAGGAATACACTATAAAGTGTTAAAACATGGACACGCTTTAAACCCCTCCCCTTACGCAGCCACAGACAACATCATTTGAGTGATTGTAGTCTGCACTTGACTCTCGCCCGTGCGTCCCATCAAACAGCTGTTTTCAGGCCCAGATCAGGCTCTGGTGTCAGCGCGTCTAATTAGATGTAATTACAAACGGGCTCACGCGAACTGGAAAATGAACAGAGCGCGGTGCGAGGTTTGAAGTCTAGCACCTCTGTTTAAATTGTTTAGATGCCGCCGCTGCATTCCTGATTTTGAATTTCTGCTCCGGAGTCAACATTTGTATCTCGTTATCAGCTACACGGTCTGAGCAGGAGGTTTGAAAGACTGGCTACACACCGCCCCCAAGTGGAGAGGCGCGATATAGCTCAGTGGTGCGCAAACTTTCCAGACCAAGGACCACCTAAGCAAACCAAATCATAATCAGATCAATATTATTCCAGTTTTTAGTGAGGGCTAACGAGTTCTAAAACTGGACAAGTTCTAAACTAAAATGTAATCTAAATTAAAGGGCCCATATTATACTATTTTCTGATCCATCTTGTAATGCGGTTTCCTCATCAAAAACATACCTGGAGTTGGGCTTTGTTTCATTCACACATGTTAAACACACAAACCCTGCATATTTAGGCTTTCTTCTCTCAAACGCAAACTTCTCTCAAACTAACTCACTCTGTTACACCTTGTTATGTGGTAATATAGGAAATGTGTCTACAGTGTCCACCGTGTTTTTAAACTCCGTTCACTTTTACTAAAATAATTTTAGAATCAAGACATAAAAGTAGCTGTTAACTTGAAAACTATCACTTCATGACATCACAAGGTGGAACAGAGCATGTAGACAGATTTATAATTAAGGATTACTCATGTGTGAATGAAACCAAACAGAACTCCATGTTTTTGGTTTTGACGTGGTAATGACATTATAAAATGGTTAAAAGTTCTCAAGAATCTATTTTGTCTAATATAGGACCTTTAAATATTTGAACTGTAGAGGACCTTCTGTACAACCAGAAGAAGTTTGAGAACCAGTAGCATTAAGTCAGAATAAAGGAAAAGTCCTGTCTTTTTATTAGCATAAAGTGGATTGGACAATGTGTTTGAGATGAGAATTTATAAAACAGGTATTTTTTCAATGATGCACTCAAGCAATGTTTTCAATAGAAAGATTTCTCCATGCTAAACAGTCTCTTTTTGACATATCTGGCTATTGTAACAAGCATGAGGAGTCCAAAGTGTTTGTACTTTTTTAAGGGTTTTATGTTCTTTTGATTCAGTCATTTGATTCAGTCATACTGGCAACACAGGCTCCACTGCATTTTGAGTATCTGCTTTTTTCACCTTTGGGTTAATCCTCAATTATTAGAACTACCTTAGCCATTGTTTATTTGTTCTAATTTTGGACCATGTTTAGTCCTAATTTTAACCTGATTAAGTTGGAAAGCTAAATATTATCTGAGAAATGTTAAACGTTATCTCAGGGGTGTGAGAAGTAGACAGGTTGGTGTACCCTTCTTTCATTTGATTTCGAACGGTGGATAGAGATTCATGATACATTTTTAAAAATCGATTAATCTTTAAAAACTTGATTTCTAGTCTCTTATTAAAAACATCCAAGTCAGGCACTGAGTTCAGTTAGATAAAACATATTCAGTTGTACCTATGCCATTGCAACACTGCCCTCTGCTGGTCTCTGAGGGCTGGACACTCAGGTCACATGTGTTTTGGGATGTCTGATGTTGAGTTTTGTCCCATTGGGACAAACACAGCCTCTCCATCTCTTTCATGCGGGTTTTTAACTTCCCCTGTGCACCTCATTTTTCAAACTCACTGTGTCCTTGATTGCAAAGTACATGAGTTTCAAAGAATACGCCTTGGGTAAAAATAAAAAATATTTAATTTTTTAATTTACAAAAAAGATCAAAGCGATTGATGCCCTGCAACACTCTCATCTTCAAAAATAAAGTAATCTAGATGTGGAAGCCGACATAAAACAGAGGGTTTATGAGGTCAGTGGGTTTGGGAATATTTTAGGTTACAGAAGAAAATGCCCTAATTTAGAGGCACAGCTGATGTTCATAAAACTTTTAACAAACTATAAATTTGACTGAAAATAAATCTCCCCTGTGAGCAAGGTCACATATCCACAGAGCTGACTTGTAACTTGGTCTGGTAGGATCACCTACATGTCTCCATGGAGCTAGAAATTTTAATGTCATACTGTAGAACATTCTAGGTAAAACTGCACAATATATCTATTGTAGAAGTATTGACATTTCCATACTGGCTAACACAAAAATCAATAGTGCAACAAATTAAATACATCAGAGGAACAAAAAGGAAATCACAGACACCAAGATTTCCAATCTGGCAAAAAAGCACGTTTTTTTATTTTTATTTGAGAAATTTCTATATCCTAGCCTTGGTTTTGTGTCTTGCATTTTTATATTGACAGAGTTTGATATGAAAATATGCATTCACATTCCGTCAACATTTTCCTCCAAAATTCAGTCACGACATTTCCAATTGGAAATTACACTAAACCTGATTTACTTCCATCTCTGTTCACATCCTCTGCACATAATACTTGAAACATTTGATGTCCTCCTCCGCAGGGAACAAAAGGTCCATCATCAAGTCACCGTGATTCATTTTTGTATCCATTAAAAGTGTCGCAAACAACTGTACACAAATAACCACGGAGGGCCTGATTTCCCCAAGGTCATGCTGTGACATTTGAAGTGCTCTGAATCAGATAAATGGCAGCGTTTAATGTTGACGAGTAGGTTTTAACTGGCCTCTCCGAGCTGCTCACTTTGATGTGCCTCGTTCTCCTTTCCACTCCTCCATTTGACAAACACGATTTCAACTGACGCCTCCCACACAGTCAACAAGGCCCCAGTCGACTAAGGAACATATTTACCACTGGTTTGCCACTAGCTCCATATGGGAAACGTCGATTTACTGCCAAGAAATAGACCAGTACTTAACAAACTGATAATGTTGCATCCTAATATACAGCCCCATTTACACCATAATATACGGAACTGTATTGATACTTTGCATCTGATGCCAAAAAAACATTCCCTGGGGGTGTGAAGCTAACTGGAGGCACTGTTCTGTCTGAAGCTCTATTAGATTATAATAAACTCCATGACCGCTCCTGAAAATGTGTTGTTTAGACCCATTTTGTATTTTTTTATTTTTATTTTTCTATGGTAAATGCTGAACATTCCACCACAGAGATACATGTAAACCTACTGTGATGTCACTGCAAAGTATAAATGCTAGATACTCAGTAGGTGCATGTAAATGAAACAAGAATTTGCAATGTAGTGAAAGATTTTTTAAGATGACACAGATACCCGATTTTTGTGTAGCTTTCTTAGCCAATATTTGTATATTTATCCATTTAAAAATAATTCTGGGATAATTTGTAAATATAAATAAAATGTCAGATTTTTATCCTAATGGTCCTTCTATTTCCATTTTTACTCATTAGTCTGTTCAAAAAGACAAACTGGATGCTGCGGGGACAAACTGGGAATGACACATGAGAATGCAGAAAAAATGTCAGTGTCAAATATGAGCTAAATCTGTAAAATTGGACCCTTTAATATGACCAATACCAATAATTAGACCAGTAAACAAGTAACCAAGTAACCACTTTAAACAAGATCCAAGTGATGCCATAGATACAGCTTGAGAATTTGCTTGAGAATTGAAGCTGAGGTAGTTCATGATTTTAAAGTTCAGGTGGCAGTCAGGGTTCAGGGTTCACTTGGTCATGTAGAGAGCCACTTCCTTCTCCAGACTCTGAGCAAATTTGTGATTCAAGAAGAGGAGCTGTCCGTGAGGAAGCAAGCGACTGAGCAAGAAGTCAATGCGGTTACTCTTGAGAAGGACCTGAGCAAAACATTAGAAATAAATCGTCAAAATTAACAACAAATTACTAATATTTGTTTCCTTCAGTGTTTTAGAGCCTCCTGCTATACAAATCCTGTAGGTTTTTAGTTAGATTACACTGACTATGTGTAGTTGGATTGTCAAAAAAAAACTTTCTTCTTTCTATGTGGTGTCTTAAAACCTTAAAAGAAGAAGTCTCAAAGTACTGCATTCTATATTATTTATTACCATGATACAGTTTCTTTACAGAATGCTAACTAAATAGCATAAAAATCTATACTAATAAATACTACTAAATAAATACTAATGTACTTCAATTGCTCCTCTGAGATAGTACATGCATTTATATTGACTGATTAATCAAAATCATAAAAATATATACAAAATAAAATAAATGTTTTGTAAAATGTTTTTTGGTATATTTATTGATGCATGATATTAATTCATTACACACTAGAGCTTTAATTGTGTGTGCAAAGATTGATGCATTTTATGTACACAGAGCATTATCATGCCCTCTCCTCTGTAGTCCATATAAAGACATAATCTCAATAAAATAATTGGTTGTTTAATACAAGTATGGTTGACTGACACCATGGACTTGCAGCTTACAGCTCTATGACGTACATATGCTTGTAAAAGCTTTAGGTTTAATGTTCAATGATATATATTTTTTGGACATGTCACCCACCTCACTACCCTGCCCCAGTAGGTGCAGGTGCTCCACACAGAGGCGGGCCAGAGTCCGGAGTGTGCCCTCGGCCAGCAGCAGGTTGTCATGAGGATCACAAACCAGAGTAAAGCCCAGGTTCAGGACGGCCAGCCACAGAGCACTTGTCTCCCCAGAGAAAGGCTGCCCCACTCGGAGACGCACCACCCCAACGTCAGCCTCCTGCAGAGCCAGCCCCTCCTCTCCTGGGACCACCTCCACCAACTGCTGACCAGAGGCATCACGGGATAGGGACACCGCACTGCGCACCTGCCTGCAACACAGCAACAACCAGGTAACCATCTTGGATTTAGAATTATTTGTGAAAAAAATAAAAATTAATTAATTAAGCTATAAGATATTACTATCATCTATCCATCCATCCATCCATTTTCTTCCGCTTATCCAAGGTCGGTTCGCGGGGGCAACAGTCTGAGGAGGGCCTCCCAGACTTCCCTCTCCACACACACGTCCTCCAGCTCTTCCAGGGGGATCCCGAGACGTTCCCAGGCCAGCCGAGAGACATAGTCCCTCCAGCGTGTCCTGGGTCTTCCCCGTGGCCTCCTCCCGGTGGGACATGCCCAGAACACCTCCTGAGGGAGGCGTCCAGGAGGCATCCGAAACAGATGCCCGAGCCACCTCAACTGGCTCCTCTCAACGTGGAGGAGCAGCGGCTCTACTCCGAGCTCCTCCCGTGTGACTGAGCTCCTCACCCTATCTCTAAGGGAGCGCCCAGCCACCCTGCGGAGGAAACTCATTTCGGCCGCTTGTATCCGCGATCTCGTCCTTTCGGTCTCTACCCAGAGCTCATGACCATAGGTGAGAGTAGGAACGTAGATTGACCGGTAAATCGAGAGCTTCGCCTTTCGACTCAGCTCTCTCTTCACAACGGTCCGATACAGCGACCACATCACTGCCGACGCTGCACCGATCCACCTGTCAATCTCACGCTCCATCCTCCCCTCACTCGTGAACAAGACCCCGAGATACTTGAACTCCTCCACTTGAGGCAAGGACTCTCCACCCACCCGGAGAGGGCAAGCCACCTTTTTCCGGTTGAGAACCATGGCCTCGGATTTGGAGGAGCTGATCTTCATCCCAGCCTCTTCACACTCGGCTGCAAACCGCCCCATTGCACATTGCAGGTCCTGGTTCGATGAAGCCATCAGGACATCATCTGCGAACAGCAGAGATGAGATCCTGTGGTCCCCAAACCGGACACCCTCCGACCCCTGACTGCACCTAGAAATTCTGTCCATAAACACAATGAACAGAACCGGTGACAAAGGGCAGCCCTATCATCTATTTTTCTACAAAATACATGTGCATGTTTCAATGATGATTTTGGTTATTGCTGCTGTGATACTCATAAAATATAGTTTACTTCCTCCTTTGCAAAGAAAAGTCACCCACTGGTTTCAGAAAGATGAGAAATCTGGTTGCCATCTTTTGAATAAGAAAGTCTTGTTACAACAGTGGCGAGGAGAAAATTCAGTTTGTCGACTGGACAAAAGTTAGTTTGGTTGAAGACGTCATCCAAGCTGCTTCTTCAGTTCTGGTTAGAGTGTTGGTGGACACTTCCTTATATCTGCAGGGACAAGCTAACTAACTGAAGCTAACACACCTACTTGTTTACAGTTTCAGTTTGTTAGTTAGGCCTATTGACCTGTACAGGGTGTGGGGTCTAACAGCTCATGGCCATAATGGAGCTTCCACACCTCTGGACCTGACCTGGATACACCTATTGTTCTCTTGTTTGTTTGGATTTAGGTTTGAGGATGGAGTTGTAAATAGAAGACAGATGGTGTCTGACTCCTCCATTTCTGTTTAGAGAAGGATTCTCTTTCTTAACAAAAATGGCTTCTTTCACTCCCCTCTCAAACCAATTCTTTTCTCTGGCTAAAATCTGTACCTCGCTGTACTCAAATGAGTGGCCCGATTCTTTTAATTGGAGATGTACGGCAGACTGAGGTCCACTGCTGCTCTCTCGTCCGTATTGGTACATCCTCTTGTGAAGTAGCTGTTTAGTTTCTCCAATGTAGCGTTCACTGCAGTCTTCACCTGCACTGAATGGAGTAGACCACATTGCTTTGTTTGTGGTTCGGTGTTTTGTCCTTTGGGTGGACCAGTTTCTGTCTTAAAGTATTCATAGGTTTGAAATAGAGGATCTCATGTTGTCTGAAAATACTCTGCAGTTTTTCATTATTACAACAATGTTACAAGAGGAAGTTGAAACCCATGGATGTCAGGCCTAATTTTTTACTAATATATCTAAATCTACATACAAACTTAACAAATAACACAATGAGGGCTGAATAAACCAATTTAGTTCAAGAATAACTGCACTGATTGTAAGGATTGCTCATTTTGCACCAATAACACATAGACACAAACTATAGTACACTTTAAACACTTTAATATACATATGCCAACTACAGTACATTACTGACCTGGCGACCACCGTGACCCTCTCCTTCAGCAGCAGCCTCCTCTCCTCCGGACTCAGCTCCTGCTTTTGCTCCTGGTTCTGGTTCTGGGTGTGTTCGGGCTGATCCGGACCAAAGACCCGGGAGTATAGCACCCTGCTGTCCCCGGGGCCCAGCGCACTCAGCCCGCACACCGTGTGGATCAGGAAACACCGAACCATGCTTCAGTAAAACTGTACATCGAAATTACAGCTACTGTAGTGATCCCATGATTCTGTGGTCTGTGACTTCCGCATTGGTCACATGACAGAGCTCACGCGACATAAGCATGGATCGAAAACAAATACTTTTTAAAATCTTATTCTAGTTATTTTATTATATTTAGTATAGTTTTATAATAGTTTATTGTAGTTATATGATTTTTATTAGTATATAAAAAGTATATACTATTTATCATAGTTCTATGGACATAAGAAATGGCACAATTTATCCACAAGATGGCGCACGCCGCTTGACTTTTTTTTTTATTTTTATTTATTTTTTTTTTTTTTTTGCGTGTGTGTCCATATGGTTTAAAGGGCCTAAAAAGGTACTGAAAATATTTATAACCTTACATTAATAAGTTATTTATTAGACAAGTAATAACGAGAAATGTTCGGGTTAAAAGTCCAATCCCCAGAATTGATTAGTATTGATAATTCAACATGCATGCTACATTGCAAATATAAGACAATTTTTTTTTATTTTATTTGTGTTCCCATAAATTCTAGCTAACTTCAATCAGTGTAGATACTGTAGGCTAATAACATACATTGCTATAGTATAGATCAGTTCTTTTTATGTTATCCATTTAAACTCTAGTAGCTCGAACAGACACATACCTTCACACACGCTTTTAGAAAGTGACAGACTTAGAGTAAAATCAATCAAGAATCAATGACCCAGACAAGATTAGACCAGGGCCTGGGGTGATAGTGTTGTCAGGTTAATAGTTAATAGGCCACTCAGAGATACAACCAAACAACCAATCAACTACTTAAAGGTGCAGTAGTGGAGGGTCCGCCTCCAGCTGGTCACCATTTATATTTATCTTATTGCTTTGCCTGGTATGTTCTACAGTATGACATTAAGCAAATCTGTTTCCATGGTAACAGGCAAGTAAACTCACCAGGCCAAGTTACAGGTCAGATCAGTGGAGATGTTACCCTGCTTACAGTGTGAATGATTGTTTTCCATAAAATAAAATATATGGAATTGTATTAAATGTAAGATTTAGGTTTAATAATATTACAACGCAATATCATCTACATAGAGACAAGCAACTGAAAAAAACCCTCCTCTACAAAAGTTACACAGTGCACCTTTAATGATGAGAAGTTTTAGCAAAGATTTGACGATTAAACAGTTATAGTGGCTATTCAGTAACATTATATGCATAGGCTATTTCTTACATGATATCTCTTACCATTACCAATACCATTACCCCATTACTATGACAACAAACATTTATTTATCACGCTTTACTAAAGTGCTAATTAATTCTTAAGATACCCCCTCTGCTGTGAGCATCTGGATTAGAGCCTCTCCATATGGGACTAGACTGAATGACACAACACATTTGAGGAAACAATAGTATTTAGTCTGATAGAGAGATTAATGGGCCCATTGTCCCGCGTCACAGCAGTGCAGGAGCGTGCCAGAGGTTTGTCTGCAGCTGTCCCGTCTTTACACACACAGATGGAAAGACATTTGATCTATAAATGCTGGAAAACAAAAATGTATTTCTTTATTTACACTGAATGAAATGTTAACCCAAATGATGAAGTGCTCAGTTTTGTTACTTGAGTAAAAGTACAGATTTTGGAGTTTTGAAGAATACTCAAGTAAAAGTAAAAGTATCACATGAAAAAGTCTAAACCGTAAAAGTATTAAAATACCTGTTTAAAAATATCCTTAAAGAGTTAAAAGTAAAAGTATTTCATGCAGATTTTGAGGTCTGATAAGGCTTCAACTGTTGTGATTTTGATCAAATGATTTTGAATTGATAGCTGTTTTTTAAAATACTTAAGTACGGATCGTACAAGTGCAGATATCTAAACTTTATACTAAAATACAATACTTTACTACTTTTACTTATTATTGTATTTACTGGTATTCATTTGAATGGTATGGATTTTGGACACAAGGAGGTTTGTGAGTCAGATAATCTGTGCAGGACAAATGCTGAAGCAAATGTTCATCAACAGCTGCTCCTGGTCACGCTCAAATTACTCCAGATGCCCTCCCATTCATCCTCTATTTGTGGCTGCCCACTCCTTAAAAGACTTATAGTTATAGTTTTATTGATACTTTGCAGTGACATCATGCTGGGGGTGTTCTGGATGTATGTGTATGGCGGAATGTTCACATGTGACCGTAGTGACACAATGCACACATTATCAAACAAACCAAAAAAGTTTTAAGATGTTTTAAGTCTGAAAACTCAACACATTTTCAGGAGTCTGTGATTAATACAAGTGTCCATGATCCTGTTCAACTGTTTAGGAGTTGATTTTCAACAAAAATGATGAGAGTGACTAACTCAAATTTTATTTGAAAGTTACATGTTTAACAGCACAAATAAGATCACCTGCTGCTGTTGTTCCAACTAAATCAGATTTTTAAGGTCAGATTGTGTTAAAATAAAGCTCAGATTAAAGTCTAAACAAAGTCTCAAACAGAGCAGTACTTACAGTTAGCATCATAATCACAGGGAATGTTGATGACATGGACTGTGAAGTATCAGTAAGAACAAATGTAATGCCTGAATACTACACCAGTAGTTTAATAGGAAAACTAGCCATTTCTAACATCAAGAAGCAACATTTTAAACAAGTATAAACAAAGTGCGGTCTTGAATCTAAACGGACTAAACCAGGATTAATTAAAGAAATATTTAAATATTTAAACTCATTCCCATTAAAACTCATTCACTCACAGTCAGTTGAATGGCTCTGAATGTGCTTTTGGTTTACCAGTTAACAAAAGCAGCTGTCCATAGCAGGCAGATGTTAAGTGCACAGCTGCTGAGGGGCCCTCACTCTCCCCCTGTGCTGACTCTGTTAACTCTCTCTATGCTGGAACACATTAAACCCTCTTTGTGGATACAGACGAGTGAAGTGTCAGATTTTGGTCACATTCAGGTGAAATCATGTTATGGCTTTAGTTAAAATACACACATTTTGTATTTGATGTTTTACGGTGAGTTAAGTGTTCTGTATGCTAATGTGTTTTAGTCATAGTGTTTGGTCCACAGAAACATAGGGACAGTGTCAGCAGTCACCTCCAGTCTCTCTCTCTAAAACCTTCAAATCAGGCAAGAAATCTAGGGGTAATAATGGACTCAGACTTGAACTTTAACAGCCACATCAAATCAATAACATCTGCAGCCTTTTACCATCTAAAAAACATAGCAAATATCAAAGGTTTACTATCTAAAGCAGACTTGGAGAAACTTATCCATGCGTTTGTCTCCAGTAGGTTAGACTACTGTAATGGTCTGTTCACTGGTCTCTCCAAACGAGCTGTGAGACAACTGCAGAACATCCAGAACGCTGCAGCTAGTGTCATATGAACCATCTCGCACTCTGAGGAGCTCAGGGACCGGCCTCCTGCTGGTGCCCAGAGTCAGGACTAAACAAGGGGAGTCAGCGTTTCAGGTTCATGCAGCTAAAACCTGGAACAGTCTTCCTGAACCTGTGAGACAGGCCTCTTCTGTGACGCTGTTTAAATCCAGGCTCAAAACATTTGTGTTTAACTGTGCATATAACTGAAAGGTTTTCATTCCGCACTCTTCTCTCCAATTTATGTCTCTTTTTTTATTTTAATCTTCATGATTATTTATGTTTTGATTTGTTTTTATTGTGATTTTAATGTATTTCTTATTCTGTAAAGAACTTTGAATTACTTTGTGTACGAATTGTGCTATACAAATAAACTTGCCTTGCCTTGCCTAGCGTAAGCAGGTTCAGTTTGTCGTCTGGGGAAATAACACCTGATTACATAAACTCAAGTCTTTCACTGTTATGACGTTTTCTACAAAACTTCACAATAATAGTTAATGTGAATGTTTTAACCGTGTGTAAGACCTGTGGTGGAAGAAGTCTTCACCTTTGTTACTTAAGTAAAAGTACAGATACTGCAGTAAAAGTAAAAGTATCAAGTACCTGTTTAAAAATGTATTTAAAGAGTAAAAAGCAAAAGTATTTTCTGCATATTTTGAGATCTAACAAAGCTTAAAATGTAGTCATTTTGATTTTTAAAAAATTAGTTGAATTTGATCAGCAGAATCAGCTGTTTTTACTTACACATTTCTGTTTGTCCAACCACGAATGTGTTAAAAGTAAACCCCTTAGGCTTTTCAGCAGGTCTCAGACAATAATAACAAATACTTTTTCTTTTCAGTCCTGTTCAAAAATGTAGTGGAATAGAAAGATACCTGCTTTCAAATGCAGTGAAGTAAAAGTAAAAAAATACCCACTTTAAAATGTACTCGTAAAAGGAAAGTATAGATACCTAAAATGTATACTTTAGTACAGTACTTTACTAGTTTTACTTTGTTGGCTGTGACTGTTCTGTTCCACAGAATAGCATTAAACTTATTTAGGTGTGTCCAGTGTCACGGAAGAGACATTGCATTATAAGGTAAATAATTAAACTGTAGTTATTCAATGTGAAAGTGGAAATCATTTTCAAAGTGAAACCTCATTTGGTAAAGAAATTATAATCTTCAGTGATTCAAAGTTAAAAGAGACTGACTCTAAGAAGAGCATATATACAGGATGTGCAGATGCTTGTTCTGCGAAAACCACAAATTAGGCGCAGTATTTTTGAACTGAGTCACATTGAGCAAGAAGAAAAACAGGATATGAGTGAAGACTAGCCAATAACACAAACGCACCAAGTTTTCAAAGATCCTGCTATTGTCTAATATTACTGGAATTGTGCAAGACATTTTCAGTTATCAGAAGGTTTGCAAATTCTGTAGTTAAATGTTTGTAAAACTAGTGACTAAATCGACAAACAGACAAACAAACTGACATACAAACAGATCGACAGACTAAAAACCAGGATAGATAGTACTTTGGCAAGAGTACACCAAATACTATAATACTCTGTTTACCAATAGGTAGTAATAAACACCAACTGGATTGACATTATTTGTTTAATAGGCTACTTTTTTTACTATTTTAATGTGTTCTCTAAAGCATCTTTGAGTGTCCTGAAAAGAACTATATAAATAAAATGTGTCATATTATTATTTTGAAATTGCAATCTAAAAATAACTTGCAGATTTTTATCCATATATGATGAAAACCTTTGGATCCTGGCCCAGTTGTAGTGATGTGAAGACTTTGTTGTGGGAAGTTGGTTCAAAGTAGTCGACAGTTTCAGTTCTCAAACACTTCACAATTCCTCTGTTGTGTGAATATTTGGTGTTTGAGCAGAGTTTGAGCTGTCAGCGCTGTGTTGTACAGACACTGTCGGTTTGTTGTCAGTGTCGCCGGGTCAGTGTTAACAGGACCCAGAGGGCAACACCAAAACAAGACCTGCCTGAGGTGAGCTGCAGCGTGAGATGTGGGCTTTTCACCTCATCCAAATGTCTCATTTGACACTTAGTGAAGGCGGTATATACTCCATATACCTACTTGGTAATAAGTGACTTATTAACCACTGGTTGGATATGTGCTTAAATTATTGTTGTGTCATTGAGCTGTTTTAATGCCACAGGAAGGAAAGAGAAGAGGAGGCTATAAGAATTTAAGTACATTTATATATATAGCTAACTAACAAGTTATATAGCCAAGAAAAAGGGTTCATGTGGTCAACTGAATCATACTTCTCTTCTTCATCTTTTTCCGTCTTACTGTTGTGCTCTTCCTTCCTTTCTTCCTCTGTACTTTTCATTGTTACAGCTTTGCAACAGTGACGTGTCAACTCTTTAGCTCCCAAGTGGATTTGTTTGGTTGATGTTCTTGCAGGAGGCTGCTCTACGTGTTAAAACTGCAGAGGAGGTGGAAGAGGAAGGACAGGGGCTTTTGCATGTGTTGCATTATGTATGGATCTGACCAGAGGTGTGATGCTGGCCTCTTCATAATCATTACTGTAAATCACATTAAAAGTGTCAGCCCAGTTCAGAGTCATTAGCCTATAGAAGGTGAGTGCACTGGACAGTACAGGTAATAAGTACGATTTATGAAGTGCACTCACCAATACAAACAAAACATCTCATATGGTCATTAATAACAATTAACACTGGGTCCCCAAAACTTCTCAGGAGTCTCCAGGGAGTCCTGAAACTAGAATAAGGATGTTTGGCAAAATAGGGGTCACTGAAATAAAACCAGTGAATTTCTCCACTGTGAGATCAAGTTTTATGGAATTCCATCTAGTCTTATAGATTTTAGAGAGTAAAAATATAATTCCCAACTAAATCATACATGTTTTTATTCATAAATTCGATTAATTTGAGAACAGAAGACCTTCATTTTAGTCATTACTTTACTCCTGAGTTATAGAGTTAAGAGCAGAGTCTTAAACTTTCTCAAGCTTTTCAGTGATGTGTCAGTGAGGGACAGTCTTCTCGGAGCCATAGTTGTCCTCCACCTTATCACTGATGTGTCTGTTCAGCATTTATATTGTCTATAACTGATAGCTGTTCTCCTAACTTAACTGACAGGCATTAGCTTTGCACTTTCTACATCTCTTGTTTAAATAATGCAAATACGAGAATAAGGTTCTTTTACTATATTTTGTGGTATAGTATTTACATTTTTTTCCATTCAAGACATATTTTGTTTTAAATTGTTTAATTCTATGTAACTGTTCTAATTTGTCATCATTCGGAAACCCATGCATATTATTTTTGCATTGGTATATTTCTAACTTTAAAGTGACCACATTTCTCTATATTGTTGTTTACTGATCTTTGTTATAATGTTGTTTCATTATCAAAAATGGACCTGGAGTGTTTTGTTTCATTCACACACAAATCCTGCATATTTAGGCTGAGTTCTTCTCTCAAACAGAAAACCCTCTGTTCAGTCTTATATGGCATGTTGTAAAACAGGAAGTGCTCCACTGTGTTTTCAAACTCCATACACCTTCACTAGAATCACTTGGATGGTTTCAGCTCTGGAATTGCCCATCTCTACTAAACAAAAGTTAAACAGTAGCTGTTAACTTAAAAACTACCAGTTCATGACATCACAAAGTGGGACAGAGCTTTTTCAGCTTTGGAGATATAGACGGACTAATATTGCATGGTTACTCAAACATGTGAAACAAAACTCAACTCCAGGAACGTTTTTGAGCATTATACTATGGCCTAAAGCTCACTATTTTGCATAATATAGGACCATTTCATTTTCTTGTGTTCCCAATTCATTTTCTTCAGTGGTGTTTAGGGCTTAGTTCAGCATAATCTTGGGTTGTAATTGCTGCATAGAGCTTTTATAGTTCAACTGAAATTGCCTGGAATTGTCTGCGATTCACACATTTGAATTGTACACGTGCATGTACTGGCAGTTACACCATACTGTCCTCATATGAACTTTACAACCAAAAGCTCTATTCATATTGATACTAAATTCATCTTCCAGGGTGTGTGTCTGTAGGAATGCAAACACAGCCTTTGGCTTTTGGCGCTTGAGAAATAAGTTGGACGTGGCGCTGGATTCAAACTTTGGTCTAACGCCAGAAGGGAGGGAGTGTTTACTACAGCTATGATCACGCTTTTACAGCACGTGAACTGATTTTCTGTTGCTCTGTCTTTCCCTTACCCTCCTCCAGTCAGGACCTGCCCTGAACACTCCCCCAAACAGAAGAATGTGCAGGCTCTATATGGACAGGCCACTCCCAGAACCGCAGTGGAGGGAGATTTGAAAAAACAGGAACTGTGGGAAAGCGTGAGAGGCCCCAGCACAAAGACTATACTAAACTCTTTTTATAGCACACTGGGGAAGCTTCATTTTGCCTGGAGCACTGCATAGAGCTGGTTTGTTAAGGATAGCATTAAAAAGTTTAAACTGTTGACAAACAAAATGTTCAATGCAAGAAAAATAAGACAATAAGTAATGGTAGTAGAGTAGTGATACAACTTCCCCCATTGTACTGTATACTAGTATGTAAGGGTATTCACGGGTCCCTTCTTCCTGTTTTTTCTGACATTTTGACTGTTAATTTGACTAGTTGACTGCCAAACTACTATTTATTGTATAGATTTGCATTTTTAACCAAATAAAGGTTGAAATATGGTGCCTTTCAAATAGAATAAAGTGTATTACAGTAAATCAGTTACTTCATTGACATTTTCATTTAGCAATGCCTATCTTTGTTTCAAAATTACTTTTGTATGAGTCAATATCGTCCAAATTAAGATTACCGTACAATGCTTAAATTACAACAGCATTTATTTTTCAAACATTAATCATTTTATTACTAGTTAATGGCCATGCAAGTTTCTTTTAATCACTCTGCAAACTTTGGAGAGCTACTTTAAGAACCTCAGCCTTTAAGGTCTTGGTTAAAATCAATAAAGTACTACAATTAGTATCAAAAGTATAATGCATAACTATTTTATAGATTAAAAACAGGCAAATATTTAAATGCATATTTGTTTTATTCCATAGCTCTCGTCAGAGCCTGTACCACAGGTCAATTTAAACCAGCCTTAATTTTAGATTTGACATCAGACTTTTACAACAGGAAGACATCTGTATCCATTCACAAAGCAGAACAAAGTCATTTTCACACACGCGCTGACCTGCAGCATTGGAAAAAATCTCACTGCAAAGTTAACAGGTAGTTTGTTTTGCTTTGGTCTTTTCTCAACATAAAAACTACAATTTCTTCAATATTGCAGCTGTCACATCCTGTGCTTTTCACAATTAGGGAATAAAACTTTCAAAGTTACATTATGGGACATTTTAAAATGAAGCCAGGGACCTCATTTAAAATATGTAAAAAAAACATCAAAAAGCACCTCACCATTTGAAGGCAAGTTTAAATTAAGTGCTTAAATAAAAGTGGGAAATAACAAAAACAAAACTTCCGTGAGGAGACAATGTTGCCATGGCAGTGGGTTTATCCTGATGCAAAAGGGATAGTGATTTGTGCTGCTCACCCCAAAAAAAAAAAAAAAAGAACAAAAATTTTAATTGGCTGTACAGGTCCAAGTGGTTATAAAACAAAATCACCATTTACCCAACACTTACACGCCTTGAATTTTAAAATTTTGCATAAATTACTAACTTTTTGCTACAGACGTGGAAATTGTGCGTAGGTCTTGCTGGTGTTTCTGTCCAAGTTTTGCGGGATTTGAAGAAGAGGTTCTGGAGGTTGGGGCAGTTTCTGATGGCAGTATAGTAGGATGGGGTCAGGGGTCAAGGATCAAGGGGGGCTCACAATTTCTTGAGGCGGCTGTACATGTCCCGTTTGCTGCGTTCACCAGCCCAGGTGCGGCTCTTCATCCTGAACTTCCGCAGGTCCTCCTTGAAGTCCTCGTGGTGCATAGGACGGTACGACTGGGGCTCGCACTGAGACTGAAATGGAACAGTAAGAATTTGGTAAATAATGTGGTACAGGTATTATGGTAAAGGGCAAGTATACACTATAGCTAGTGTATACCTTTTTTGCAGCACCATAATATTTAAGATGTTGAGGGCTTGGTGCACTGACACAGATCTCCTGACCCTACCTGACCAGTCCTCCTGTTAAATTGCACTGAGAACTTTGAGACACAAAGGCCACTGAGAAGCACAATGAAAATGTTGCTGCAGTAAAACTAGGATTTCCCTCGGGATCAATAAAGCATCTCTCCCTCTCTCTGAATAATATCTATGGATTATTAGAGATGATTACTAATAAAGAAATGTTTTATTAAAATTAAAATTGCACATTTAGAAAAAAAGTTTAACAGGGATTCTCATGGTTTAGGGGTATTACATCAGTAGAAAAAAAAAGTTTAGTCATTAATTGCATATTCTCTGTAGCAATACCACAATTTAACAATTGTTATCATGACAGGCTTGGTCTACTAATCAAAAAGAAAAATAAATAAAAAGTACACTTTTAGTTCACATCAAGGCATGTACATTTGGTAATAGTACAACATATTTATGAATTGTACTTTGAGTATGATTTTTTCATTGTGGCAAACATCAGATGGCATTTTGTTTGGCAAAGTTTGCTATTTATAATCTGAGAGAACCAACCTGGAAAACAGGGAAGAAGTCCTTGTAGCCGCCCTTGAGGATGTAGAGCTCTGGGTAGTGGAGGTTGGGATACTCGTTCATTGCTCTGTCGCGCTCGCGGACGAAGCGGCACATCCTGGGACCCCGCTCCGACGAGAACTCGCAGTGAAACACGATGACCACGCGCTTCTCCTCGCCGCTCGGGACGATGGGCCTCTTTAACAGAAAGTCCTCCACCTGGTCCTCCTGGTGCAGGTTCAGAGCGCCCTGGGAAAATAAAATAGGGTTTAGACTAGGTGCAAAAATCTTACAGTCCTCATCAAATGTAGATTACAGACTGATCCTACTTGGCAAAGCTTTGATTTGTTAATGCCCCATGAAAATTATTAAAAAGGTACACTGTGTAACTTTTCTGGAGAGGTTCTGCAACCAGTCTGTCTCCATGGTGATGCTTTGGTTTAAATTTCCACATTTGACATTTAATAACAGGGGTAATGCACAAAATATCTTAAAAACATTCATTCTTACTGTGATTGGGGTCACCTCTCCACAAATCTAACCTGTAATTTGGCTTGCAAGTCTCCATTGAGATTCTTATGTTTATGACCATACTGTGGAACATTCTACGTACATCTCCATGGAGACAAGCAGGTGACAGAAGCTACACCAACAAGTTACAGTGCACCTTTAATGGGACGTATTGTGTTCAATCAATTTTACGAGCCTTAAAACAGTATCTTTATTTTACTCAAAGCCATTTCTATTGACTTTTTCATGTTTGATAAATTCTGTATTATTTGAAACAAAATGAAAAGATAGGTTGACAGTGGGCTCACCTTGATGTGTCCTCCCTCAAACTCATATGGATAACGGCAGTCGATTATAATGAGCCGCTCCACTAAATGATTAAACTGGCCGTTGAGCGCTGCTACCATCTGGAGAACAAGAAGGAAAATGTTGATGAGAAACTGTCACATTTTGTATTTTGAAAGCCTACACTGAAATTAAAATCATTTAGAGAAAACACATACCATGTCTGGGGTAATATACTTGAGGTCTTGATGTTTTCCACCGACTGTAGGAAGCACGAATGGCTACGGAAAACAAAACAAAAAAAACTTAGTATATAATAAGCAAATGGTTTGAGCTCAGTTAAATTCTCCTTGTGCATTTACCTTAGTGAAGTCTCCGATGAGGTCCCCAGAGCCTTCATCACCGTCCAACAGCTTCTCAATTTCAGTTTGACAAAATGATTTGGATCGCTGTAACAGACAGCTCTGAAAGGCAAAATTAAAACAGAATTAACAAGACAATCAAAGAAAGCTGGGATGGTTGCAGTGAGGAAGAAAGCAAAGAAGCACTAGTTTTTTGGCCGCAACAAAACATATGTCTTTAGCTAAAATACTAGTTCACCAACTCCAGAAACAAAAATATAAAAGTAAAATATGTTGCTCTATACTGGATACAACTTGTACACTTTAAAAATGGTCCTATATTACACAAAATTTACTTGAGCTTTAAGCCATGTTAGAATGTGGTAAAACATGCCATGTCAGACAGGTTTGAGTAATCCTTTTGTCATTTGTCTGCATCCCCAAAGCTCAAAATGCTGTTCCACTTTGTGATGTCATGAAGCGGTAGTTCAACTAACAACTACTTTTTACCTTTTGTTTAGTATAGACTGGATAATAACAGCATTGGAATAGCCAAATGATTCTAGTGAAGGTGTAAGGATTTTAAAAACACAGGGTGAAATACTGATTTCTGTTTAAGAGAAGAACTGAGCCCAAATATTCAGGGTGAATGAAACAAAGCACATTATAACAGAAACAATATGTAGCCAAGGTAACTCACCTGCCGTGGGGATTCGGGGTCCTGCTCCATAGTGGTGACCTGTGTTCCTGCCAGACTTCGCCTCCTTTTCACCCGCACAGGTGTGTTCTCGTCACCGGAGCAATCGGGGCGCTTCACTGAGGGGCGGGACACTGGGCTGGGCATGGAGGGTGAGCGGAAGAGACTTCTGGGCCGACACCGGATTATGGGCTAAACAGAAGATTAAAAATATAATAATACAGCAAAAAAAGTAACTGTGTTGCAATAGCTCTTTTTTGTTTTTTGCTCACTTTAATTAGGTGATGTTTTATACAGTCCTATGCAGACACTACAGAATGATAAACGCATTTACTAGTAGTGACCCAGTAGATTTCTGAGGTTGCTTCAGTTTCTTTTTCATATTGCTTTTGCCAATTTATATGAACTTTTTTTTCATATTCAATCCTAAACTCTTTTAGACAAAATAGACTACAACAACTTACTGAATCCTCTGCAGTATTCTCCCCGACCAGTGGTGCAGTGAGAAGGCTAGCCATTCCCATAGGCATCCCGGAGTCATTCTGGAGGAAGAAAATTGCTTGTTAGAGCAACTAATTCAAAGCGAATATATTTTTTTTTTTAAATTATAAATCACAAAGTCCAATGTGAATAGGTCAAAATGTCTTCTGACCTCCATGTTGTCGTCCATGATATCCAGGAAGCCATCGTCTTCATCGTCAAGGGAGCAGGTGAGGGAGGAGCGACGGAGGAACATGGGGCTGGAGTCAAAGTCGGGCTGTTCAACGCGAGGTGGTGAGGTAAACTGGAAAGGAATATACAGTTTAATTTGGATTTTATGTACTATACTTGTCTGAGCTATATTATTATTCTGTGTAAATTTACCATGAGGGCTGGAGCAGAGTTTGGTCGCCGAGAAAGTGTGTCCTTGCCTTTTCCGTCGTTGAAGGAGCGCACACGGCACCGCGACACAGGTCGGGTGGGTTTTTTGAACTCAAAGCCCTCCTGAAAAAAATGCAGACAAAGTTACCCAAGTCTTGCAGTTTCCTTTTATATTATGCATGTACTCAAGTGGTTTGCATTTAATGAACACAAGATTACACCAATAGGCCAAATAATGCACGATGCAATGCTATCACCATAACGACAGATCAAAAGTTCTGTTTCTAAAGAATAGTTGTCCCATCACTAAGAAAACAGTATTCACTCAATTGTGAAGTTTAAAAAAAAAAAAAAAAAAAAAAAAAAAAAAAAAAAAAAAAGAGCAGCTTTACTCACAGGCACATTTTCCTTGTTGCTGTGTTGCAATGAAAGGGGGATCTGGGAGGGTTGTTGGCCAAATATTCCATAACGGTGTGAATCTGGTTCTTGTCCCTTCGCACATGGGCTGTAGCTCAGCAGCTGAACCTGGTCAAAGAAGGTAAAAAAAAAAAAAAAAAAAGCAAAAGTTCAGAAGTTGCTTTAGAAATATTTAAAAACAGGCTGGATTAAAAAGGTTAAAATCCTTCTTACCGGTAATGAGTTGTTTCTGCGGATGGGCATCTTGCTGTAATTGCAAAACAGAAGAGAGAAAAATAAATCAATACAGATGCGTTCAAAAAGCCCCAAGAGACTAGTCACTATCCAATTTAGACACTTAGTTACATTTTATTGACTGAAAACCAACTTACTCATTGACGATCTTCCGTGACTGCTTTATGGCTCGTTCAAAGCTGTAACAGAAGAAATAAACTAATCAATATTGGGGGAATGGGTGAATGTTTAATGTACATGTGCACAATGATTCATACAAAAAAGGAGAACTTTGCAGCTTGCATTAAATTACTCAATTTATTGCTATGGATAGGGCCATACATTGTCTGGGAATATGCATAATAATTTATTCAAGCTGTGAGCCAAAAACGGACACCCGCACATTTTTATTCCAAGCACAAAAAGCTGGAGATCTATTGAGAAAGTGAGAGGAACAGTTGAAAAAGTTTGTTTAAAAAGCAGAGAGGCTAGAGGTGGTCTGGGTTCAGCACTGGAGAGATGCCCACCTGTATGCTAAACAACTAGAGTGCTCAGTACATGGGGGAGGAGGTGGCGAGATCAGCTCAGCTACCATATGCCTGCTATAGCCAGTGCCGCCAAGCCCTGGTCCACAAGAGTCCTTTGTTTGCCAAAAAGGGGGAGCGTGTCTCATTCAGATCGGCCCAGGACAAGGGGAGGGCGGGTGCTCTAAGGGGTGCCCCAAATTCAATAGACCAAACCAGGCTTCACCCTTCCTTTAGAAATAACAGTGCATAGGAAGAGTGTGCCAGAGACAGAAGGGGGTGGGCTATCATTAAACCCATTGATGAAACAGCACATCCTTAACAGCCAGTGCAAAACTGAGAGAGAGACCTAGCAACCACCAAACAGCTGTAAAATGGGGAGGGGGGTCCAAGTTGGTTAGTGAGGGCAGCTGTGAAGGAACTTGCACATCTGAGGAGGACAAATGTCAAGCAAGGACTTGCCCCAACGCAGGCTCAGGGCCACCCAAGATATGGCGACAAGTTGGTAACAAGATAAAGATGAGAGTAGCACAGGGAGTAAGAAAAGAGGAAGTTAAATGAGGTTAAACTAGAGACAGGCAATGCTAGGTGAGTGAAGGGTGTATAATTTATGATGGGCTACTGTACATTGGTATGGGGGTGACAATTTGCAATATGAAGTAAGAAAAAGAATTAATGACATCCCAACTTCAAATTTAGTGCAAAATTTGAAATGTATGAAACTTCATTTACAATGCTTATATTCAATTTATGAACAGGACAAGCCCAAATTTCACAAGCTTAAAAGTTTCAAAATCTAAATCTGTAATTTGTGTCAACTAGGTCTGTGTAATGTAATGAAAAAAAAAAAAAAAACATGTAATTTGTGAAAGAAAGAAATAACACAAAAATATACTAAACTACAACTACTAACACTGCATTTCACTTAAAAAACATTTGCTCAAGAAAGTCAAGCTTAAGTTTATTAAGCTGCTTAAAATAACAGCCTGGTATTTAAAAGCCAACGGTAAAGACATTAATCCGTCAGCTGAGGAGATATGTGGCTTGGTTCAACTGGCACAGAGTGGGGGTGTATAGGAGACTAGGGGGGTACAGGGTAACTGATTAGAACAGACAAGAGAGGGACAGTGCCACTTACGAGTCCTCAATTTCAGCTACATCCACTGGACTAGGGGGATCCATGCCGAGACCTGAAGGAAAATACATTATCAAACTTAAAGCCTACAGTACAAAACGTGACTCTGATGTCCTTACAACGTGTTTAGGCCAATTCACTCCAAATATTGAGCAGTGGCACGTTTTAAAATCAAGTGAAATGACAAATAAGCATAAACTATCCACACTTACCAGCGTCAGAAGAGGTATCAGATGCAAAAGAGGGGATCTTTTCAAGTGGTGGGTGCTTTTTCCTTTTGGGGGTATCAGATTGGCTGCAAAGAAAACAAACTCAATAAAGCTATATTCATAGTTATGCACTGTGGATAGCACGGGGAAACATATTCAGAAATTACCTTCCGAGTCCAGCTAGGTTGTTCATATCCAGGGCCAGATTGGTGACAGGGGACAGGACGGTGGCAGGTCCCGGGGAGAAGAGCGTCCTGCAGTGAGCGTCTTTAGCGCCGAAGTCGGGCAGCGACAGCGAGGAAAGCCCGGGGATCCCTTCGGGCCTACACCTCGGAGCGTTGTTGACAGACACAGGGCTGTCATAAAGGTTAAACGACTGCATTTTGGGGTCCAGTTAGGATTAAACCTGCAGGAGTAGATGCTTTGGGGTCGCTTTTAGAGTGAATCTTAGGTCAAAGAGAGCCAATTCTTTGCCTACATCCACCAGGACCGTCCGAACCTGAAGCTAACCCGGAAGCTAACAAGCCAAAAAGCTAAGAATGCATTTCCAGAAAAGTTCGACCAAACTCCGGGTGGAAAGTCCGTGCGGAGAGAAGCCTCGACTTGTTTTTACACGATTTACTAATGCCACATAATTGTAGTTTTACGTGAGAGCTGCAGCACGACGTAGTCCTGTGTGACAGCCCCTGGTGGTCTGAGAGAGTGTGAGTAGAGATGCACGTATTTATGTTCAAAATAGAAGCTCAGAAGCGGCAATTCTACAACCAACCAGCGGCCCGCGCACGAACACACGGCCAATCCGAGCGCAGGCTGTTGTCCCCGGGGCCGGATAAGGCTGGACCGAGAGGATGTGACACAAGGGGAAGGAGGGAGGCTTAAATTTCAGCTTTTTCTCCCCATCTTTTGTTTCTTTGTACTAAAATTCCCGCGTGAGAATAAATGCTAAGTATGAAAACATAATGCATTGCTATAAACAATTTGATAATGAAATACAACTGACCAATCATGATTAAGCTTCAGCCTACTTTATAAAATGTGAATTAGTTTAAAGGATATTGGTGTATTCTCACTTCAATAGACCTAAAATGTAATACATGTTAAGTATGATAACATGATGCATTTCTATAGAGTTTGATGGTGATATAAAATTTACTATCTTGATTAAAATAGAGCCTGCTTTACAAGATGTGAAGTAGGTTAAAAGATTATGGTGTATTCTTACTTCAGTAGATCTATAGGGTTTTTATCTAAAATCTTGCTATATTCTGGCCAGCATTGTAGTCGACAAAGTACATTTTGTAGTTCTTTCTAGCCATGTGCTGTGGGCCTGTTACTATCACCCACACAAAATGACTAAGTACTAAGTTATGACTGTTGCAATAATCTACTCTTTGAATTGAAAGTGCCACAGCCTGAATATCTGGCTTTATTCAACAATAATCATGCAACCAAAACTCCAAAGTCTATTATTTTACATATCATCATAAGCAGTTTTATATGTATATCATATTATCATAAGCGGTTTTATATGTCCACAGAGTTCATTAAAAAAAAGCTGAATTGTTAAAATGTAGGCCTAGTTATGAAGCTAAGTTGGCTATGTACAGTTTTATAGCAATTCTGAATAGACCAGATAGAATACATTGGAAGACATTTAAAATTCTTCTGTGAATACATTTGTTATAACCTATAGGTGTGTTCATAACCTTTATAAATCAACTTCAGCTGTGTAATATGTAGGGTCACCAGGTGCCCCTATTTACATGGGACAGTCCCAGTTTTGAGCCTTATGTTCTCTGTCCCAGCAGATTTATCCAAAACTTGTGATTTTGATACTCAGCTCCAGTAAAAAGGGTAATATATTACTAAATATGTTCAAATACAGAAAACTGTGCTTGAAGCCATAAAGGGCACTTAGTTGCAATGGCAGAAGTCTCTCATATTATACAGTATATACTGATTTACAGTCAGTTGAGAATGGACCAAATTATGTTATAATTATGCTCTCTTTTTACAATTGTATTATTATGAACCACCCCAAGGCAGGTGTGTCACTTTTTGAACATTTTCAGTTTAATTAACTACTTCACTTTTAAGTACTGTCATGTTTCTTTGTCAATCTCCTTTTAGGACTCAATTTTAGGACCTGTGACCACCTCTATGTTAGAATCTTCAGTTAAACAGTGACAAAATCTGTTACTGGAGCCATCAGTGTTGACCATCAGATGTAGGCCTACATTCAGTTCTACCAGAGCTGCTCAGCTGATAAATCACAGAAGAAGAAGTGAGTCTTTTTTTCTGGCTTCATGGGGCAGCAAGAAAATCCATGATGTATCATTGCAATGTGCTACAACTGTATAGACCTATTGTGAACAAAATAACATTCAAATTCGTAATACATTGTATCTTATTTGTTATCAGTATTGTCTTTATAACTTGATGTAGTTTATTGTAACTAAGATGCAAAAATCCAAGACACGAATGAACTGAACTAGTATTGAAACTATGTATTTATTTGAGAGGTATCTTTAGGCTATGAAATCACATAAATTGGCCTTATTGTCCTGGATGGTCTTGATATATACACCAGATCTAGTATGCCACATGATATTAGAGAAAGCATTAATGTGCTGTGTTGGAAATTGCATTATGTTATAAAAATTATCTTTTTTAAGGGTTTTATTCTCTCTTTTAATGTTAATTTTATGATGATTATGTTTTAATTAGTTTATATTGTGATTTTCATGTCTTTCTTATTCTGCAAAGCACTTTGAATTACATTGAGTAGGATTTGTGCCATACAAATAAACTTGCCTTGCCTCTCATTTTAGCATCAAAATTAGTACTGAGAATGGAAATCAGATTTGAGAAATGGGACAACATAATAGTAAGATATAGTGCATAAACTCTTTTCATTGTAATATTCATTTTCAACACTGACACCTATACACACCATTTTTTGTCCACATCTTTCCTTACCTTTTGCATATATGAGTTTACTGTATGTAAACTACGGTGCCCCAGCATTTATGAAGGGGGTGTGTGCGTTCTTGTGTCTTTATTCAGGTAGACCATGTGATCACTCAGCATCTCGAATACAAAAACATTTGAATGAACTTCCCTGCAGAGGAACGAGCACTGTCCCAGGACTCCACACCCCACATGCAAAAAGTACAGACAAAAGATGCATTAAACTTCCTCACACCTCCTGTTCCCACCAAACCTGAATGTAACCCCCACACAGGGCTACCACAGCACTGGACACAACCTCTTTACATAACTCAAGATCTGAGAATAGAGCATTCCAGCACATAACAAAACACAGTCGTTTCCCGATTCAGTAGTTGTGTAATATGTGATGTGCACCTTTTGGTTCTTATTTTTGAATGATTTTCTTTACATTCTCAACCTCCTAATACCATGCTAATGTAACACACATCATATTTTGGCTATAGTGTCATTAAAACATGTGTTTAATAGGCCTGTTTAATGTTTATGATCAGTGATTCTGGAATGGGATTAGGAGTCCTGTTATTGCCTTTTGTTTAGCCTTGGGATGTGTTAATTATTTTAAGTTTAAACCATGGTTTAAACTTTATAATTAAGTTCTTGGTGGTAATCACTGTTTCAGAGCAAGTTACCCTATGCGTATACCAAATTAGCAAATGAGACATCTGAATAAAAGTACAAGTGAAAAATTTACCCAATAAAATACTGAAAATAGGACTGGTGCACTTAACACTATTATTACTAATCTTACAGCTGACTTTTACAGTTTTTAAATCTAATTTACTTCAATAGCGGTTGGTTGGATGATAAAACATTTGATTATTTGTTTCAGAATTACGTTTTCTTTCTCTTTATCTCTCGCAATTACACCTAGCCTCCTAGTTAAACATTTATTTTTATGTGTTTACTATATGGGTAAAGTAAAGCTCTGGGGAAAGTAAACCTTGGAGAATAGTATACTAATTAAATTATCAATGAGGAAATCATAAAGTTTAGACACACTGACATAAAACTAAATGTTACTCATAAAAAAGCTGGCGCTTTTCTATAGATCGTTTTTGGGAGGCATAATGCTGAAAACAAGACATGTATTCAGGTGGACCAAACATTTACATTTTCCATAGCTGTGCAGTCTGCCCCTCCTTTTCTGAAATCTTCAGTGAAAATGCAGTGACAGCTGATTGGAGAAGTTAGTATTAGCATTCCAGTCATCTGTAAATGAATTAGTAGGCTACATTAACATTGATGGGAGTTCAAATAGGCCATTAGCACAGCACTGACTGACAGCTCAGTGCACAGGGCAGCCAGATTGTGGGCGTGAGATGACACCCCAAAAGATTCTTATCACGCCGAAATGTCTGGCAACTTTACTCTGTGGAACTGTTTATATTCAAAACCGCTGCCATGACTGAGCCACTAAAGTCACACAAACTGCTTTGAGATCTAACAGTACATTTGTCGTCAGCAGTGTTGGGAAGTAACTGAATACAAATACAGGCAATACGTAATCTATACTAACAATAATACTAACGCTCTAAAATCTAACTCGTTTTGTGGTATTCAGAATAGGCAAGGCAAGTTTATTTGTAACACAATTCACAAAAGAATACAGTTACTTTTCTAAAATCTAAGTGATATGTTATGGTATTTGATCATGTAATTTAGGCTTCAAACTGCACATAATCAATAAGAAAAATAGAAAACCCAACTGGTGTATGCATATGTGATTTTTCCATCTCCAGTTAATAACAGGAAATGCTTTAAAGACAGTGAAGTGAATATAAAGCTGTTTTAATTCTATGTTGCGTTTTTACACTATCATTTAATTGCAACACGATGTAAAGGTATGCTAAGTATTCAGAATACAGTACACTGACTGGACCATGTACCAGATTTTGTTACAAAAACATTTTAAAGCAGGTATTCACTAATAACTAAGTACATTTCAAAGTATTCTTCCCATCACTGATCGTCCAAGTTAAAAGCATGCATATTGACAATGCACAATTTCCATTTGCCTTTGTGGGTGAGTAGTCTGGGTTGAGAAGCAATGGTGTAAGTGAACAAAGTAAAGCCTTATCACATGTATCAAAGTTTGCCTCATAAAATATGTTTATGGCTTTGTTCATCTAATCGGATCTTATTACATGAACAGTAACAAAAGACATAAGACATAATAAGGCCTGTCACAATAATTATTATATCGAGTTGTTAATCAAAAAAATATTTTGGGGCTCAATATTCAAGGTGTGTTTGCTACAGGAGGGAGATTTTTGCAATGGTTTTGTAATATGAAAAGATTTGAGCTGTAGAGGATTGACTAAGTAACTAAGTTCACTTTTCATTCTGCTTTTTATTTGTTTGCAGCTCATTCCTTTTTAATGATGATGTAGATTGACTGGGATTATCCTACTTTATTATTATTGTGTCATTGGATTAAGAAGTTTAAATAGGATCTTTTTTGTGACAGCAGTATACCATGCTTCAAAATGCCTTATCATGACAGGCCTAATTTGAATCCTTTTCAGCCAATTTGGGTTAAATTGAAGAGAACTTCCATTCCCAGACTTGGGTAAATGCAGAGGCTTGCATCATAAGAGCAGATGTGGAATGATACAGATGAGTTTGACATCAGTGGTTTAAAGGTGCTCTATGTAGCTTTTCTGGTGGAGGGTCTGCTGCCTGATTGTCTCCATGGAGATGTTATGTTTA